CAAAGCGGGGGAGGGTGCGGGGCTGAGCGGTCCTACCCTGCGTGGAGCCGCGCTCCCGAGTGAGCAAAGCAGCTTCGCGAATACCCGTGGAAGCCCCAGCGCCGGGCATCAGGAGAGGAGCTTGGCGGCTGCCTGGGCTGAGCAGCTGGGGGAGGGGACGGAAAGGTCCAAAAGTTCCTTTTTTTTTTTTTTTTTTCGGAACACGAGACGCCAGAGAAGCAGGTCTCTCCAAGAAATGCCATTTCAATGATTTTAATAAGCAAAATAGGAAACAATTTTAATAACCAAAAACAGAAACCAGTCTGAATAAAACTACAATAGACCAGGTTTTTTAATATTTTTCATATCATAAGCAGGATTTGAAATTGATCCCTTCAGAACTTTACATGAAATAAAAACAATTTTTTTTTCCGCTGCTGCAATGTTTTGATTTCAACACAGTTGAATCAGTAAAAACCAAAGATCGTTTTCTGATGCATGACTAATATCCACAATATTTAAAACTGCAAGCACCATGCTGTTCATTACAATCTTGTTATTACTGTTAATTTATAAACTAATACAAACTTAAAATGCATCCGGCCAGCAGTGCCAGCTATCCTAAAAGGAAACTAAAAAATAAGTTTTCATTTTGGTATTTTTGTCAGTGCAACGTAAATCCTTTTACTGACCTGCAGGAGGAAAAAAAAAGTAATAAAAACACCCATAAGACTCCAAACTACTACTACCATACAACTGCAAATAAATTTTGTCTAAAACTTTCACTCGCTGCATAAGGAAGCAGAGAAGCAGATTACAAATCATCGCAAAAGAATACACTTAAAAGTTGCAGTATGTCTTCTTAAAAAAAAAAAAAAAAAAAGTTTTCTATGCTTTTCCAGCCCCCTCATCCTCTGCTGCCATGGAGAAGCCCAGCCTGAGTGGCCAGCCGGAGCCCTGGCTGCTATTGCAGCTTGACTCGGAACGAGGAGGAGGCTTTTTTTTTTATTTATTTACCGAAAATCAAGGGGCAGGTTTTTTTCTTAAAAGGAACTGGTATCTCGTCCGTCCTTCGCTTCCTGAGTGTACAATTAGAAGGGAAACTAGATGGCCAAGCCTAACCACTCCAGGCTGGGAATTGTCCTGAAGGAAAGAGCTTCGCTGTCACTTTAAAGCATGGAGGAGGCTCTAGTGACCGATGAGAGTTTTTTCCCTGTTAGGTTTAGGTTTGTCAATGCCATTCAGGCGTTTTTGCTTCTGCCCCAACAAACAAAAACCAAAATGAAAACTAAAAAAAAAACAAAACAACACAACTTAAAAGTGCACCAGATATACAAAGTTGGGTTTTTTCTAATGCAAAATGCCCATAACTTTTTTCCTTAAGTATCTCTTTAATACCAAACCGTATAACCAGCCTGCTGAAATGTTTTTTTTTCTCCTGTGCAGTTTGAAGTAGCAGATATTTACAAGCTAACAACCATAAAAGAAAATAAGAGAGCAAAACCAACGAACAAAACTGCACAAGCAGTAAAAAGTTTGATAACTTGTGATGCTTTTCTTATCGATGAAACAAAACAACAGAAATCTATGATCGATGATCAACATGCTATAGTTAAACAAGAAAATGGTACAAAATAGAAATTATTACCATACATGTCCAGCATGCAGGATTAATATTTTTAATGCAGATTTTCGTATTTTTCTATATAATCAAGCAGGCAATAAAACTGATGAGTTCTTTCTTTCTTTTTCTTTTTTCTTTCTTTCTTCCTTCCCTTTCTTAGATTGAATGTCTCATCTGAGTCCTGTAACTTATTTCTCAAAGCAGGCAATATATGAAGAGTTTGCATATATTGTCCTTTTTATTTATTCTCTTTTTCCAAGCAGGTAAATTGTGCATGAGATGGTCCCGTATATGTCCTCTCTCTTTCCAAGCAGGCAGTATGCTATAGATGGCTTGTTCATTGTCCTTTTTTATTATTATTCTCTTAAAGTCCATCTCGTTCTGCAAGCAAGCGAACTATAAAATGCTTCACTTGTCCTTTTCTCCTTTGCCTCTGCCTCTGTCTCTCTAACTTGCAAACGAAAGTCGAAAAGTTGCACTTTACCTCTCCCGTCCCCACCCCCAGCCTACTTTTCCCACAGCTAATCTAGAAGTCTGGATGCTGCAAAAAAAAAAAAATCAAGTCTCTATTTTTCTCTCCTTCTTTCTCTCTAGTCAAGCAGACAGATGGATGGAGATGTCAGAGGAGGATGGGAGCGGGGGG